AAGGAAGTATAGCACCACTGAGATAGAAAACCAAATAGTGAGTCATCAAAGTGATATCACAGGCACAACCCGCACGAATTGATGTAGATGAATCCCTTCATTGGAGCAAAATTCAATGGCCACGCTCTGAGGTCGGGCGTTTCTGGCCGCCTGGTGTCACCAACACACACCTTTCGATGCGAAAACGCCATGCCCATTTCCTTTGCCGCCTGGTGATCGCTTCTACTGGCGCATATACTTCCTTGGTGCAGGCTCACTCCAATAGGCTTTCAAAGTCCGCACAGAGTTAGAAGGTATGGCGCCTTAGCAGCAAACTTTGTGAAAACTCGCTTTCGTTCTCCGTTTACATCGCGATGCTCGATCTTTGCTGCGGGCTGATGAGAGATCACAGGTACACAGTTGCTCAGAAAGTTCAAGAGCTCAACCTAACATAATATTATAATTTTGACGTTTTGGCTCACGTTGTGACGCTTCTCCGGGAAGGTACAAAAAATGTCACTTTTAGGGATGTTTGCGTAGCGCTATCTTGACACACCTGCAACGGGTATCAGTGCCCGGCTAAAGCAATATAAATAGGACCGAGTTACAGAGGCTGACATTCGTTACGAACAATTCGACATGTTCTTCTACTTCCTTTGTGCGCTTCTCCTGCTCAACGCCTTTACAACTGAGGTGAGCGTTGCATTCAGTTGTGTTTTATCAGTATGACAGAAGTGCCCACTTGTAAAATTGGGTGCCTGCCCAGACGGGATGGCACAGTGAATGCGTCCTTTCGATGCGCTAGATCTGCAATAACGAATCCGGGACCAAATCTTTTCCTTACTTCACGATATTGCAGGCATGCATAGATGCCGGCGATACGGAAGATTGCAAGGAGTACAAGGCCGAAGGCAAATGTAAAGATCCATCTATGCAAGGCTACATGCAGGCATTCTGTGCACAAACATGTCGTTTTTGTGGATGGTAACGCCATTAGTCATCGGAAATAAACAATCTTCTAACATTTTGCGACAGTTCCGTTCTCGTCTTGCACAATTTCTGTTTTTTTTTTGACGTTATCGTGTCTAGAATGCCGTAAAATCTTCTGACCAATCCACTTACTACAACGTCTTAACCAGTAATAGGAGAACCTCACTGCCAACTTATCAATTTTTCTGAGAGTGGCCATTTCATTCTACCAACATCAAGCAATTAGCAAAGCGGCCAGTGGTACCGCGATATGCCAGCATTTCTTTAATATCACTTTGATCGCCCAGTTGACACCGTCCACTCCTCCTTCTCCTCGGGATCGCTCGTCTACCGTCGGTTGAGCCCCTTTTCATCGGAAAGGGGAAAATAGCTCTCTGAATAAACAATCTTGGATCACAATACGCAACATATCGCCTTTGTTTTTTGGATACTGATCACCAATAGTCTAAACATTGCTGACTGCAACGGCAATGATAGCGTGAAAACAGAAGTAATGTGAAGCAAGACTATGAGACAAAGAAGGCGCGGACAAGCAGAGTTCTGCTCAGGCTTAGTATTAGGTTGGAAAGAAAGTCCTGCAACACTTTTTCAAATTTTTGATTTTAATTTTATCTTTTTTGGTTTACAACTCCTGACCGGTCATATATCTACCATGAGTGTCCACCACTTGTCTTCAACGCTCAGAAAAATTTCTTGATGCTCCTTTGCCAAAACCCAGCGTGGAGTGCGGGTTGTGAAAGGAGGCGACCTCACTTTCGAGTTGGAGTTGTTCGCCTAATTATTTCACCATCAAGGTGATGATTCAAGTTTAGGATAGGTGGCATCATTCGCAGCTCAGCAGGAGAATAGAATACGATAAGAGAGGGCTAATTCCGAATTATGGCGATTTGCAATGTCATGAAGAGAAATAAATGTTGCCGCGGTACGAGGGCTCCTGAAGAGCTGCCTCGGCCAGCTTCTGGAGTTTCGCAGCCTACACAATGTGCCCATAACGAAGAATTTGTAGTGGAGCTTTTGTGAGAGCCCTATCTGTAATGGAGTGTGCGGGACGCTGCTGGCTCCTTATAAAAATATCAAAAGATCGAAAGCGCTGGTAAAGGTGAAACACGCTGTAGCGGTGAACGGCATGCCTATTGAAGCTATTGCAGATAGTGTCGGTCGTTGACACGAATCCATAGTTATGGAGACATTTGTACTAGACAGTGACTCGGAGTACGGATTTACTAGTGGTCGAGGTTTTTTGAATTTTCTTGGATAACTACTGACTGCAGCACTTATCCCACCTCGTGGATTGAAGCCTCGAGAATGCTCTACCATTTGTTAGTCATAAATGTTACCTATGAATTTTTCAGAAAAAAAGAAAATTTTCAGAAAGAAAGTGTTGCAGAACTTTCTTTCCAACCTAATACTTACAACGGCAGCATTCATAAAAATAAACCTGAGCCATTCTGAAAGATGAGGGCTTCTATCAGGTGTGCAAGGTTAAACCCTTGTACTCCAACAGTGTTTTACGTAAAGCGTTCTCACAAAAGAAACACTCAGAACACGTGGAGATAATCGCGCTTAGCACTATGGCCCAGAAGGTGATGGCGACCAATGATAGGCGAATCGAGACATTGAATTGCGTCTAGTTCTGTGAGCGCTTGCAGCGTCAACATATCAATCTGCAATAGTGTCAACCACAAAACCTTCACACACACGTTCGCTCATTAGGGAACAGCTGAGTGGTTATATGTGGAAGCTCATGTCTGCAGCTCTCAAAGCCGCGAGGTTGATCCTTGCTGAAGTATTAGCCATGCCCTCGCAGAAATTTGCAAAAAATGTTTCTAGTAATAGCGTAGCCCATGTTGACAGGCGGGCTGATAAAGGCCGCAGTCACAAAAATCATGCTTGAAAGTTTCAGTGTTATTGCTAGGACGTCGCCGGGAAGTGGCGCGCAGAATCATCGCCCGAGTCTTGTGGTCAGGACCTCTGCCAAAAAAGCGGGTTTCGAATAAGAACTCACGAGGCCTTGACATCGAATCAACTCGTAACGCGTGTGCATAGCAGTATCGGACCACTCTCATCTGTGTAAATAATCACCGATCGGATCGTGGCTCTGAGAATAGACACGAAGGAGCTGTCAGGGTTACGCACGCGCAGCCCTATGCCCTGAAAATGTGATGAACGAGTTCTATCTGAATCCCATAAGACGGTGCCATAAGATCGACTTCAAAAGGTGATTACCTCACCATAGTAGGTGGAGCATACGGAGGTAGATCGATAGGAGTGAGAAATGGGGAGAGAATGGTTCAAACTCAGCTACAGCCCGCGATCTAACGGCTTGCATGTCTTTCTTCACGAGAAGAAGGTTTCAGAGAATTATGTAGCATTCAATTGTAGAAAAGCAAGACTGCTTCCGCTACAGCGCTTCATTTCCACACGGGGGTCATTGCTCTTGAGACAGTCCAGTTGAATACATACTACTTGTCCAATTGACGGCAAAAATTTTGGGGCCCTCTACCATGAAAGCCCAGATTTCCACCTCCTTTGAAAAGGGCTAACTTTTTTTTCATCAGTGTTCCCTGCGCTCACGATATACCCCTCGCAGCGGTCCTCCCGCCTTTTTTAAAACGATAAAAGTTTTGTTCCCCAGAGATCGTCTCCTCTTTGTATACAACGCACAGTCTAGCAGCTCTGAGAAGTCAAAACGCATCGAAATGAGACTTGGTACATCTTCGTCCATTTGAAGGATCTCTGTCAGCATTTTACCGGGAAAGCTATCCGAGCACCACTATTGGAGCAGTATCGACATCATCTGCGGTGAACGTCTTCGTTGATTACTACGGTACGCTTGCCACTTAGACATCATATCCAGCAAATGTTCCGCTCTTTCCAGGTTATCTGCTGAACACCGAGGCCAATTACCGAGCTCAAGACCAAAACTGTGCAAAGAACATGGCCACCGCGTTCACAAACATGCAAAGCATGTTTTATAATGGAACCTATGGAAGAGGAGAACTGAAGAAAAAGTTCAAGTAACCTTTTAACACCCTCTGGCCATCTACAGTGAGGAGTAATAATCCGATCACTTGCTAGTTAGGGAATAAGTATATCCATGTTGTTTTAGCCTGTGCGATGACTTCGATGAGAAAAATCTACCGAAGGCAGGCCAGTTTTTCTTCTCGAACGTTATTAGCTATTTCCAGGGAATAAATCAGTACTCTGGTGATAACAGGGTGAGTGCCATGACACGCTGGTAAGTACCTGTGGTTTCTAACTGATATTTAGAATGCTGCCACTCGGAATGGGTTAGGAATTCCAAGGGCGTGTGAGATCATGACGAACGCCACACTAGGAGATGAAATGGACAGAGTGAAACATATTGTAAGTACGATATACCAGGTTTTGGGATGATTTCCGTTCAACTCATTAATCTATGTAGTGTCACCGCAGACTGGGTACCCGACAGGGGCCGTATTCAATCCTTCCCCAGGGGGATATATCCCCCTCCTCTGATTCAATCCTCTGGGGGGACAAAAAAGGGTTGCGTCATAGGACCTAGCATACCTCTGTGTTTCTACCTGCCAGACAGTTAGAGCAGCGCGACCCCTCAGGGAAAAGAGTGCTTCATCAGTGGAGGGTAGTAGCGCTGCTCTAACTGTCTGGCAGGTAGAAACACAGAGGTATGCTAGGTCCTATGACGCAACCCTTTTTTGTCCCCCGAGGATTGAATCAGAGGAGGGATATATCCCCCTGGGGGAAGGATTGAATACCGCCCCAGGAGGCCCGTCGCGCGGCAAGGGGGCAGAGTCAGCGGACGAGTCGCAGCGCGTGCTGTGCGACGTAGGACGTGAAGTGGTACATTCCACTTAACTTGACTCGAATTCACTAAATTACGCGCTGTGACGAGTCCGCTTACTCCGTCTTCTTGCCGCGCGACGGGCTTCCTGCGGGGACCGCGCACAGAGTCTCAGGTAAGCAATGCGTGACCATTCTGGACACGACGGATTTCCAAACATCCTTTTGTGCTCGAGTTTCACAAAAATCAACGTGAAGAATGTGTTGCCAAAGGAAAAAAGAAAACTGACTGAAAAAATAATCCAGGAACCCCCTTTATTGGACTTCACTACCAACCAAAAGACACGAGTGCTAAACAAAGGAGAAGATCGTGGGTTTCCGAATGAGAAGCGCAGACATCTTGTCGCGACGAACGCTGTATTGCTGCCAACAGTGGGAAACTTTCAGTGAAAAGGTCCCAGCCAGGTTGAAAATCTAGCGAGGATTTGTCGACGACTCGTCGAAAACTCTCGCTTGTTCAGTCACGCTCTCCCACGCGAACATTCACTCTCGCCACGCGCGAGCCGTCTGTGCTCCCTACGCGTACATTCCCTCTGAACACTATTTCGCACTGTGGAAAGCCATGGTCGAGGATTTCCTCGATCGTTATTCACACTGGTCCCAGCGCCCTTGTCGCGTACTTTTTAGCCTTAGAACAGTTAATATACCCCTTGGTGCTTGTGGTTGCTTTATACAATCCATTTAAGGGAGTGGTACACCTGAACTGTGCCTTTTGCTGAGAAATGTTCAGCTTATTGGAACGAGCCTAACAAAGCTGTGAGGTTAAGATTTCCATAGAGATATGCACTTCAATAAGACCAATAATATTCACAGTGAGCTTCCGAACGCCCGTTTCCTAGTATTGTACGATGAACTGTAGAAGGGGGATGGCAAACGGTAGTGGGGATGGGTAGGTAAGTCAGCCTTAGTAATCTCAAGCCTGGTACCGACAAATTGCCGCCAGAACAATACAGTGCACTCTTGATTTGACAACGCCTAGGTAGCTGTTCTTACACAATGAATGCTATTGCAAAACTACTTGCCTTCATCTATCTTCTGCCCAACTTGCGAAAAAATTATAGTGCAATGTTCGTTACGCCTATTATATGTAAGAACTCGACTTTTTCTGTAATGGAGTGTTCAGAGTTGGCGATCGTACGTGCGATCAGGCGATTAGGCGATTAGGCGATTAGTCTATAATGAAAAATATACGTATAGATTAGGCGAGTAGGCGATTAGGCGGGGAAGACAACATACGTATTGATTGGTTTGCTCCGCCCATAGAACGTTGTAGGCGAGTAGGCGATTAGGCGAGTAGGCGATTAGGCGATCGCTCAATGGGCGGAGCAACAAATCAATACGTATCCTTCTCTTATCGCCTACTCGCCTATCGCCTAATCGCCTACTCGCCTACTCGCCTACTCGCCTAATCGCCTAATCGATACGTATACTTTTCTTTTGAATCATCGCCTAATCGCCTAATCGCCTAATCGCACGTACGATCGCCAACTATGAACGCTCCATAAGACGCAATCTAGCTTATCGGAAATTTTGGGCAACCGACTCTTGAATAAAAAATTCATATTTATGACTCGTGTTTTCGAAATGTATGGTTTAATACGGTTTTCATTTCAGCTGGATTGGTACACGGAACTTACTGGTGGAGGGAGTGGCTGCTACCCGAACAACTACACTGACTATCTTAAGCACTACCAGGACACGTCATACACCGATATTGATGATGTTGGTGAGTTTTCCCGTATTCCGACCCGAGCGTGTGCTTCTGTGCAATGAGTCTGCCTATCAAGACACATTCGTTCCAACTGCAGTCAGTCAACCGGAATAACTTTCCGCTCCAATCGACGCAGCTCTTTTTGAATTTTTGGAAGTCGACGAGAGAGAAAAGGGCTTCGAGACACAAGAGCACACTTAATCAGCGGTACGACGCCCCATAGATCAGGAGTCCAGTCTCCGGATCTATGGGGACCCGCGTTCTAGTTATCCTATTTCAAAGGCATATCACAGAATCAAACGATGTGGTTTTTACGCACAAATATGGAAGTATTGGTGAGAAATTGGCCGGCAGTGACGAAAAAGGGAAAAGAATAAGTCGAAAATGCTTAGCTTAAAGGCAGAATTCACGATGAAAAGTTAGCTCATTGGAAATAAGGGTAGAGGTGGTCAGTGGAGCAGGGATGAAGAAGAAACCATTTGAAACGGCCCGAAACCCGAGAAATGGGACCCTTCCTTGCCCGTTGATTTGCGCATTGATGCGACTCTCATCGCTGTGCCCTCTTCAACACTACGCTCTCTCTGCTATCTAATCACTCGCCACGTATAGACCTGCGGCGAGTGATTAGATAGTCGGTGGGCGTACCCCGCCAACCGCGCCAAGAGTGAGCCATGCTAGATCGCCGAGGTCAAATCTTTCGCTGCCAATTGCGCGTCGGTCAGCACCCTCAGGAGGTCCGCCTGTCCCCAACTAGCTATTTCCCCTTCTTTGACCTTCGTTCTTATCGTGAATTCCTCCTTTAAGGACTTCTAACTTTCGTAATAGGATCTGCTAAGGGCAACTCGCCGCGTCCTAGCAGTTGCATGTGGGGGCACCCATACCAGCCTTCTGGGGAATGCAGAAATTGTGGAGACTATCCACACCCACGAAATCGCAATCTAGATTGGATGTGGAATTGAATCTGATGCTGGAAAATTAACAAAAAAATCTGTTGCGGATTTCGGTAAGTTTTTCACGTTGCTTCATCATTAACTTTGGCCATTTCTCACCGGTTAAAAAAAACACTTGTGCTCCCTTGTGGATCAACCACGTGAAATCCAGCACAATCTCCTCTAATTTTCTCGCTCTTTATCATTTTTGGTGATTGGCCACCGTCCGCCGCGGCGCAACTAAAAAAAACAAGGATTTCGATCAAATCCGATCATTCCCGATGCATTTCGCATTCTCCAATGCTCCTTTTCAACAATGTTTACCAGCGGGGCTGCGCTGCAACAATCAGATAAAGTGGAAATCATAAAACATAGTGAACTGCGTGGAGGTTTAGTGGTGTTCCCATCAAGTGACAAAGTGTTTCCGTGAAATTTCAAAAAAATTGGCAAGCCCACCGCCAGGGGGTTTCGAGCTTGGGGGGGGGGGCGCACAACATCGTGTAGCAGCGCATTTCCTCTCCTTTCGCATCTTTACCACCTGTTCGTGTCGTTTGTGTCAGAAATAGGCCCGACATCAGCAATTCTAATTCATCTCTCCAGCTCCGCAAGCGTGAATAAGCTTGCTCTTTATTGACATGAAATTTTTCGGCTGAAGCGTTTGTCTTCCCAAGTCAACATACAACCAATACTTGCGCGTAATTATAAGTCATTGCTAACTTGTTCGAATTAACTGCAACAGAAAAACACAAGACCAAGAGAGGCAGCCTGGGAATGCCGCACTTGCTCTCTGTCTAGATAATAACTAATTCTCGAGTAATGGTATCTTATAGAAAACCGACGTTATCACATATGATTGCTCACAGCAAAAATTATATTAAAGACACAACCCAGGATTAAACTGTGCTAAACTAAGAGCGCTTCTCGTAGTCCTAGCTTTAGCTTGGCGGAGCGACTAGTTATACGAAAGAAGAGAACTTGTGCCACTTATATTGATGTATGGGCTTTTCGCACCAAAAATGTTGGGTGGTTCAGTGGATTGCTTGTTTATGACCCAATTTCTGAGTGATGGTGCCGGATCCGGACCGATTTCTCAACTGAGAACAATGCAATAGTCAAGTTATAATATTTATTGCAATTACAGAGCAATAATAAACCAACGTCTTGTTACCGGTGTAAGGAGGGTGAGTGCCAACTCTGAGCCTGCTTGACCCCTTGTTGGTTTAGGGGCGTGACTAACTTAGAGATCGTCGACTTAGACAGGAGGAGACGATTAGGGATTAAGATCGTCGACTTAGACGACGATACTCCGCCGGCAACGGAGTTAAAATTAAATATACATACATACATAAACACATGAAATCTTTGATCGTATGATGAGTGGATGCGGAATAGTTGACTGGACGCCGAGTGGAGAGGCGAGATGAGAGCTTGGTTTCGATGCTCGCTAGACTGGACTGCTTGTCGAATGGAAGACCGTAGGCGCATCGGTGGTTTCAGTGCAAATGCTCGCCGCCACGCGGGCGCACCGTTCGCCTTCCCGGCCGATGCACAAAAAGTGTGTGCCACTTATATTGATGTATGGCTTTTCGCACCAAAAATGTTGGGTGGTTCAGTGGATTGTTTGTTTTTGACCCAATTTCTGAGTGATGGTGCCGGATCCGGACCGATGTCTCTAACTGAGAACAATGCAATAGTCAAGTTATAATATTTATTGCAATTACAGAGCAATAATAAACCAACGTCTTGTTACCGGTGTAAGGAGGGTGAGTGCCAACTCTGAGCCTGCTTGACCCCTTGTTGGTTTAGGGGCGTGACTAACTTAGAGATCGTCGACTTAGACAGGAGGAGACGATTAGGGATTAAGATCGTCGACTTAGACGACGATACTCCGCCGGCAACGAGTTAAAATTAAATATACATACATACATAAACACATGAAATCTTTGATCGTATGATGAGTGGATGCGGAATAGTTGACTGGACGCCGAGTGGAGAGGCGAGATGAGAGCTTGGTTTCGATGCTCGCTAGACTGGACTGCTTGTCGAATGGAAGACCGTAGGCGCATCGGTGGTGAAAAGAAGACAGCTCGCCTGCCACGCCGGACGCCCGGGTTCGATCCTCGCCGATGCACCAAAAATGTGCCACTTATATTGATGTATGGGCTTTTCGCACCAAAAATGTTGGGTGGTTCAGTGGATTGTTTGTTTATGACCCAATTTCTGAGTGATGGTGCCGGATCCGGACCGATTTCTCTAACTGAGAACAATGCAATAGTCAAGTTATATAATATTTATTGCAATTACAGAGCAATAATAGACAACGTCTTGTTACCGGTGTAAGGAGGGTGAGTGCCAACTCTGAGCCTGCTTGACCCCTTGTTGGTTTAGGGGCGTGACTAACTTAGAGATCGTCGACTTAGACAGGAGGAGACGATTAGGGATTAAGATCGTCGACTTAGACGACGATACTCCGCCGGCAACGGAGTTAAAATTAAATATACATACATACATAAACACATGAAATCTTTGATCGTATGATGAGTGGATGCGGAATAGTTGACTGGACGCCGAGTGGAGAGGCGAGATGAGAGCTTGGTTTCGATGCTCGCTAGACTGGACTGCTTGTCGAATGGAAGACCGTAGGCGCATCGGTGGTGAAAAGAAGACAATGCCTCGCGCTGCCACAGCGGGCGCCCGGGTTCGATCCCGGCCGATGCACCAACATGTGCCACTTATATTGATGTATGGGCTTTTCGCACCAAAAATGTTGGGTGGTTCAGTGGATTGCTTGTTTATGACCCAATTTCTGAGTGATGGTGCCGGATCCGGACCGATTTCTCAACTGAGAACAATGCAATAGTCAAGTTATAATATTTATTGCAATTACAGAGCAATAATAAACCAACGTCTTGTTACCGGTGTAAGGAGGGTGAGTGCCAACTCTGAGCCTGCTTGACCCCTTGTTGGTTTAGGGGCGTGACTAACTTAGAGATCGTCGACTTAGACAGGAGGAGACGATTAGGGATTAAGATCGTCGACTTAGACGACGATACGAGGCGCCAAATGGACGATGAATAAACGGCCTCTAACTACAATAAGGCCCTGCATGGGTACAGATGGCGAGCCCAGGTGGCCGATTGAAGAAGTCAAAGTACGCGAGAGAGCGCGCTGATCTCTACATCAATGCACGCTGATCTCACCACTCGCGTGGTGGGTGGGAAGCGTTGCAACGGAGGGTCGACGGTTGCAGCCCGTAAGGATCAGCGCCCTAACCGTTCAATTTTGGTGTCGAAGCTGGAGTGATCTAGGTAAATCTAAGGTAGGTATGGCGGACGCGGTACGATTCCCTCGCGAAATCTATTCCTAACTGAGTCGGCCAATCCTGGTTTGCCTATTATTTTTTTTTTTTTTTTTTTGTTTTTAATTTATTTTTTTAATAATTTCGCATACGAATCGGCATTCGTGTACGGGATAAGCTTACTTAATCAATTCTTCTCGCATTAAATGCTCTTACCGAATTTCACTCTTCAAATTCGATGACACACTTTTCTCGTAATTAATGTGACTTCTAAAAAGATTAAGCTACAAACGTAAGCTTCCCAGTAAATCCTAGATGGAAGAACTAGAAATCGAGGGAAAAGAAACCGTCGGAACACTCACCATCCCCACGAGTGGAAGATTCCTAAGTGCAATCGTTGTTCCAGTTGCAACGCGTAGCTGGATATGGCAAACGTGCACCGAACTCGGCTACTTCCAGACAACCGACTACGGAAATAGCGCAATTTTTGGAAAGGTAAAAAAAGAAACACGCACTACCCAAGTGATACAGTCTCTCATTCAGATTCGTCTTCTTCTGTCATCTACGTACTGTTTAAGCTTCTTCTCTGATCAGTGTATCGAACTCTTTGGTCCAGAGTACACTCTCACTGAGACCTACAAACGAGTTGACGCTGTCAGCAAAAAATATGGCGGAGCTAAGGCATACAGGGGAAGCTTGTTCCATTATGTTACAACTGATAACAGCTTCACATTAGAGTATGAGTGATACCCACTTTTTAGCCAATGTCGTGTCCCCTCATTGTTGGAAAGTTGCGATCAATGTAACAAGGAAGACTTTGTCAAATCTTAATAAACTCCGATGAGACGCTGGTTGAGTCATAAACGCCGAGAAATCTGGATACAACATATGGACGAAGCTTTTAACGCGCAATTTCTCTAGCGAGTGTGACCAATCAAAGTTGGTAAGAGAAAACGCAACCTCTAGCAGTCCAGGGCAGCTGAATCTAGCCGTATGAACATTTCTGATCCTTAGTTAAACCCTTTGCTTCTCAAAGGCAGCGATTAGCGAAGTTAATCTAAAAAGGGTTTAGTGTGGGCGTGTGGTGCCATGGTGCCTAAGCGGAAAATATGCGCCAATGAAAAGCGGAAAACGGGACCACTTTCTTTGGCCGTTGCTTTGACACTCCATGAACCCAGTAACAGCTCAGAAAGTAGCTATAATAAGAGTTAAACCACAACGCCTTCGATGTACCATTCCAACCACAGCTTAAATCAAGATGGCCTGGCAATTTGCCCGCGCTGCTGGTCACGCAACGTCGTCAAATCAACAAGTAAATCTAGTGGGCGGATCGCTTTTGGGCGGAGCGCTTTCCGAAGTCCCTGCTCAGCAATCCAGCGCAGCTTTCGAGGTTGTGAAAAGCGCCCCATTTCGATTCCCCAGCAACCATGTAACTGATTCGTGTGGTGTACATGCTTCTCCGATGCGCTACCTCTTTATCGTAATCGCTTCCTTTGAAGGCAAGATTCGGGATAAAAGTGTGGAACAGCGTCCTTAAATAAAGCTAGGCGGAAGGTGATCTGGAAAAGAAAAAGAAATGCAAACCGAACTATCCGCCCCAACAAAGACCTCGCCCCACTTAGCCGCTTCCACGCTAAATAGCCGAGGAGACGGCGTTGACGAGTGCCACGAACCTATACCTGGTGCTCCAAGTGCCAATAGACATTGATCGGCTAATGGATCCTGAGCTGCCTCAAATGTGCCCGGGCTGTATAGCACGTGGCCGACGAGGCGCCGACGCGTCCGTTTTGAAGCCACCGGACTCAGTCAACAATGATCATTCTTGAACTTTCCTCTTTGTACTCTTAATGACTGTTTGGTGAGGGGGGCTAGCGACAGACGTGGTGCGTCGCGGTCGGACGATCCCCTTGCGCCTTCTCCACTCGACCATCAAGCGGGCAAAAGAGGCCGACACAATGCCAGTAAGGCGTCGAGGAAAATTTTGATAATGGACTTCTCGCCCATGCTCTCACACTTCCCCTAGAGTTGAAGTCCTGAGACTACGGCCTTCTTCACAGGCGGACTAGTAAAGTTGTTCATTCTCACCAAAACTGTCATAAAAAATGCTCCTGCTAACCACCCTTGACAAAAAAGTCGCTAAAGAAGTACAAAAGTAGAAAAAGTCAAATAATGATCATTATTAGTGACAGAAACTACAAAACGAGCAAACGAGAGCTGGAGCAAGAAACGACAAACTGGTCTAAAAATGGCAAACGGGTCTATTCCAGTTAGGGGGGGGGGGCATCATGATGCAGTTTCTCGGCGAGCTAATGTAAACTCGAACATTCCAGCTTCTCACGCATGTCAAGTGACTGCCCTCACCCCCACCCCCCTAGGCTGGCTACACTCCCCCTGGCTCAGAGTTACCGTAGCTTTTTGGGAGTCACCGCACCATGATGCCCCCCCTAACTGGAATAGACCCTGGCATAATTTTTGTGTGAGCCTACTATTATTTCTTCTTATTTTATTTACTTAGAGGCGCTATCCATCTCTTTTTTATTTATTTCCTTTGGAAGGCTTACCAAATTTTAGTACTACACAGGGTATGCTCTCAATCTACACGTCCCCCTTTCAGTTGAAAGAAGCCTTGTAACCGCCTTAGCCAGCTGTGTCTTTGGCGTTGACCGTGGAGCAGCTTATTTACTATTGAAATTTGAACAAATATTCAAATGATTATAACTTTCTTCAAATATGACGAATTTTCAATCTGAAAGCAGATTTGGAAGTTTTGAAGAGCTCTTTCTAATCAGTATTGAAATTACAAAAAGTTATAAGAAATAACAAATTTAGATCAATTAACGAGGAAAATTCGAGATGAGCACGAGTTTTTACACTTTCCGAAGCAATAACTTGCTTCATTTTCGTCAAATTCAAAAGTTAATATGGCAGACAAAACTAGAAGATTTTCTCTATCAAACGGTTGCTAAGCAGCTTCATACGTCCAGTATTCAAAAAATGGCCACGTTGAGGATTTTTGCAAAATTAACGAGGAAAATTCGTGATGAGTGCGAGTTTTTACGCTTTCCAAAGCCATAATAAACTAGTAAGATTTGCTCTATTCAGAGATTGCTGTAGCTGCTTAAAACGTTCACTATTTGAAATTGGCGAAAGCAACTTTATACGTTCATGAATTTGACGCTGAAGGCTGCGTTTCTTGTTGAATAGTGTACTCCTCCCTGTAATTACATGAACCTTTCAGAATCCTCTTGATTTTTCCTGAATTGAGATTCTTTCTCCAGAGAGCCGTAGTTGAAGCGCGCGCAACCAACTGGGCCCACTCTGGGATGCGCCGTGTGCTTCACATCCCTTCAGATTTGAGGACTCACTTGAAAGATAAAATATCCCTTGGAAACGTGCGAATTTCGGATTCTTTAACTTGTGTGGTGATAAAACTGAAGTAACTAAGAATTGCTAAGCGGACACCTCTAAATCACGAAAATTTTGTGTGGGCGGAATCAATTGTTATTGGAAATACTCTGGCCTGGCATCGATTCGATCCTTGATGTTTGTCCTCCGACGTGATGATCCTACTGCATCAATCGGCCCGATCTCTTCCTCCAGCGGGCCAATACGACCCCCTGTCGACGTGTGATGTCGCACCAAAGCAAGCGTGTGTCGAGGATTCCTCAACGCACGCTTGCCCCTGGTGAGAAGTCAACGCTTGCCCGCCTGTCTACCACTCCCGGGATGGGACAGGCGAGCGCGCCCAATCCCGGAGCGTGCTTTCAAGTTAGATAGTTATAGATGAGTCGGAGGGGCTGGTCACCAATATGACATTCATTTTTGACAAAGGAACTAAATGGCGCTAGCTGTATTTTTGTGCAAACTTTGGCCGCTCACAACTTTCTCGGGAAGTTCTTGTAGCAGTTTTGGTCTTTTTCGATCTACCTAGGTCACGATCTAAAGCTGCATGCGAAATTAGATCCGTCCTCCCTGGCAAGACGTTCAACTATAACGATTGTGTTGCTAAAGATTAGCCCTAACCTGTCATCGCTATAAATTTTGAACTGCACCTACGGGGCAAAATACGCTACCGCGATCGTTAAA